TAGAAAAGGTCCATGAAGATTTCTATGCATTTACTTGTAGAAGATTCTCCAATTATATTTAAAGATGTAATAAAGTCAGTAGATGCTTTATTTTGAAAGGAAGCAATAAATAATGAGATACAATCTATAGTTCAAAATTATACTTGGGAACTAACTGATCTTCCTTCAGGCTGCAAAACTATAGGATGTAAATGGGTATTTAAGAAAAAACTTAGACCAGATGGAACAATAGATAAATATAATGCCAGATTAGTAGCTAAAGGATATACCCAAAAATCTGATATTGATTATTTTAATGCCTATTCTCCAGTAGCTAGGATTACTACTATTAGAGTCCTTATAGCTCTAGCATCTATTCACAAATTATTAATACATCAAATGGATGTTAAAACTGCATTCTTAAATGGAGATTTAGATGAAGAAATCTATATGGATCAACCTGAGGGATTTATAGCTTCTGGACAAGAGAAGAAAATATGCAAACTTATTAGATCAATATATGGTCTCAAACAAGCTCCAAAACAATAGCACATAAAATTTGATGAGGTTATACTATCTTATGGATTTGAAATTAATCAAACAGATGAGTGTGTATATCATAAAATAGATAATAACAACAAAATTATGATTTTATGCTTATATGTTGATGATATTCTTATTTTTGGTTCTGACATACAAACCATAAATGAAATCAAACACTTCTTATCATAAAAATTCGACATGAAAGATTTAGGTCAAGCTGACCTAATTCTTAATACTAAAATCATGAAAAATGAGAATGGATATGTGCTATCGCAATCACACTACATAGAAAAAATCCTCAAGAATTTTTATGATCCAAACTGCCAACCTGTTTCTACTCTATATGATCCTAATGTACATCTAAAGAAAAATACAGGTCATCCTTAGTTACAAAGAGAATATGCACAAATAATTGGATCATTAGGATTCCTGGCAAACTACAAAAGACCTAACATTGCTTATGCAGTAAATAGACTTAGTAGATATACATCAAATATTGATAATAGTCATTGGGAAGCTCTAGAAAGAACTTTGAGGTATCTAAAAGAAACTATAAACTATGGTTTACATTATAAAGGTTATCCATTTGTATTAGAAGGATACTCAGATGCAAATTGGATTAGTGACTCAGTAGATGTAAAATCTACCACTTGATTTGTGTTCCTTTTGGGAGGAGGAGCTGTATCCTGGAAATCTACTAAACAAACTGTAATGGCTAGAAGTACAATGGAATCAGAAATGATAGCTCTTGATACTACTAGTATAAAAGTTGAATGGTTGAAAGATTTACTATTTGAAATTCCATTAATATAAAAATCATTACCAGCTATTTCTATTCATTATGATTGCAGGTCAGCGATTGACAAATGTCATCAAGAGAATGCAAATGTGAAGATGAATTGACACCTGAAAGTGCGACATAAATCCTTGAGATATAAGATGAAAAACCATGTAATAGCCGTAGATTTTGTAAGATCAGAAAAAAATCTTGCAGATCACTTAACTAAAGGCTTATCTAGGGCAGTGGTCCTAGAATCATCGAGGGGGGGGAGATTAAGCCCATAAGAAAAATCACTACAGTGGCAACCCAACCTCGCAGAGGTTCAATGGGTAGAAACAAACTGTATGAGTGATTAATTATGAGGAGCACTAAATTTATTTGCTCCCATCCCTAGGATGATCAGTGCTCATAAAAAACAAGTGAAATGTTGAGTTAAACTCTTAATGAATTCAAGACCCATGAGGCAGAATGCTTACTTGCTCGCATCCTTATTAGGATTCACCTATATGTGTGTAGTTGTGAGGCCGCGACTATGGGATCAGGGCTGCTCCCTAGTAACACACATGAAAGATACCCGCGCAAGGCCGATAATAGCGCAACCCGTTTAGAATTCTTCAAAACTATACTATGTGTGCTTTCTGTAGAAATCCGATAAATGGGACTAGTTCAAGGCATAGTCCACCAAGCTCTCACGGATCTATACAACTATCACTAAGTGAAGGTTCAAACCGAAAGGTACCTCCACCTATTACATAGTATAAGGGAACCAGCAATCTTAATTTTCAAAGTTCTTCTTTTACTCTTAATTTTGAATTATTTTAAGTTTTAAGTTATATGGGGGATTGTTGGAGTTATATAATAAGTGTAACTTAAAACTTGATATTATAGTGGGAAAGTTTAGTCCCACATAGGAAATGGAACAGGAAGGAAGGGTGTTTATAAGCCTTTTCCTTCTCTCTTATGCCTAGAAGAAAATAAAGGTTATGCTCCACACCACACACGCACGTGCCGGCCGGGCCCGGGCTCGGGTGGCACGCGCACACGACCTGCGGACACGAAAGCAGCTCCGGATTGAGGGGCTCTTGACTTGCTACATTTTGAATTTTTATTTTTTTCTAATTAGAACAATTAAAACGTGTTAATAAATTAAAACGAGCTAAACAATTAAAACATGTTTAATATGATAATAATTAATAAACGGCTAGCTAAATTATTGCGTAACGTTTATAACGTAATTAGCATTTAAAACGTATTAAACGGTAATGTTTATTAGCATTAAAAACGTGTTAAATGGCTAGCTAAATAACGGTTTTTTTCCTTTATATAAACCGCAAGCTGCAAGGGAAAAATATATAGCGAAATATAACAAGCTCTTCTTCTTCTTCTTCTCTGTTCTTCCTCTTACGCTTACTTGCTGTTACGATTTGTTGGTTTCCTGAAAGTCACGAAGGATTCGTAAAACCTTCTTGAAGCTCATGCCGACGAGAAAGAGGTCGCTTGACCGAGGGTCGTTGTATCTCCGAGAACTTTTGCCGCGTAGTCCTGTACGAGAGGGCGCAATTAGATTCTTGGGACAGTGCCTTGCACGCCTTGACCATCAGGCCGTATTTCTAACCTTCATTTTTTTTTGTTTGAATTATTTCTTACATCTGTGTTATAATATTAATTCATTATTATCTGAAAATTATTAACTGCATTTCATGCTAATTTTTTTCTAAATAGCTAATATTCCCAACATAATCTAGTTGTAGATTATCCCTAATACATGAGTGCAGACATTCGGTTTGCACGTTTATCAAAATCGGCTGTCCTCAAATAGAGCAATGTTATTCGGTGTAGCCTTAGAAAAACTTACGCTGGTAATCACGATTTTGAAAACGTCTGAAACATGTCTTCTTTTTCTGGCGAGCCCACAAAACCTCTTCCTCTTCAGTTATCGCAGTTCTATTGCAAACTACCAACAACAACACATCATCCCCGTTTCCGGCTTCAGCAACATCACAAGCACCCCCTACGACCTCCATTGTCTCTTATTACGTACACATGGTAGAAAAAATTCGGACTAATATCAACTGACCACAGACATTGTGATCCGTTGATAACTTATAATGATGTGTACATTTGAGTGTTATCTTATCGAAGTAATCAACTACGTACAATTATAAATTGTCTGATACGCCGATTGCAGTAATGATGACGTGCGCATTTGTATTTTACCATGTATCTCATAACAACTCGTCTCATAGTCTGTACATTCGTATTTTACCATGTATCTCGTAATATATAGCTGTCGTTGGTAGAGAGTTTTAACTACCGAGGTACGCGATAGCAATGCGTACATGATTGATGTTATACCCAATTTCTCAATGCCCCATCTCATGACATGATTTTCTATAGGGTGGTGAGATTTTTTTTTTTTGAATTACTCAAGAAAGATCCCAGTAGTGCGAAACCTACGTAGCCTTGAAATGCACAAACACATGTCAATCTTCCTAATCGAACCATGTACAACCTAATGGCAACCATTCCTAAAAATTTGTCGGTGTTACTGTTACATATTTATAAGCTGCTTAAGTAACCTGTCTACGTATCCGGATCTTCCACCCGCTCCGTCCTCTTTCCCAAGCATTATTTGGCCCCATCGATCATCTCCTCCCCCTGCCGTCGTCTGTTCTCCCCCCCCCCCCCCCCATATTAATTACATGGCCAACGCTCCCTCGTCCCCCCGCCGACGTCAACCCGCCTCCGGCTTATCCCCGCGCCACCGAACCTTCCACAGCTGACGGCCTCCCGCCCCCTTCGGCCCCTCCCCTCCCCGTCTCCTCCCCTCCTACGTCTTCTCCCTCTCCCCTCCCCCTCCCATGCCCACCCTCTCCTCCCGACTCCACCTCCCACTCCCTCTCCTTCCCTCTCCGTCCTCCGGTCCCTCGCTCGGCTCCCTTCCTCCCCCTCCACCTCGAACTTCAACCTCTCCCCCGGCGGACGTCGCCCTTCATCCTCTTCCCCCCTCCCACTCCACCTCCCCTCCTTCTACTTCTCCTCCTCTCCCCTCGGCGTCGTCCATCGCCCGCCAACCCCGCCCTGCACCCCTCCGACTCTCCGCCTTCTTCTCCCATCGTCAACCCCACGTCTCCTCGCCGCCTCCTCCTCCTCCTCCAAAGCTCCCCCCCTCCGCCGCCGCCAGCCTCATCCTCCTCGACTCCCCTCGCTTCTCCTCCTCCTAGCTGCCCAGGCCAAACCACGTCATTCAAAGCGACCGCGTCGGCGACGAACCTCGTCGGTCCGACAGAGCGACGTCGCCCGCACCAGGTTCTCGTCCGGGCACGACGGGGGCCTTGTGGAAGGCGGCGGGCCCTATCGCACCGCAACCTATCGCCGTGTGGTGGCGGCGGCGGCTCACAATCGGAGGCGGGGAGGAAGAGGCAAGGTGGTGATGCTGACGGCCCGACGTTTCACTCGATGGGGTTCATGGGGTTGGTGTTGGACGGTGGCAATGGGGAACGCGTAGTGGTTATGACCGGCCGGGGTTTGAGCGAGATGCTTGCGGCGATGAGAGAGGGTATGGGGTGAGATTTCTGTCCGCGGCGCGCCGGTGTGTGGTGGCGCATGGGGTGGGAGTTGAGGGACGAAGCGGTTGAAGTTTGATCTTGGGAGGTTGGAAGGAGGGTGGTTTGCGGCGGCCGCGCCGTTTGCCGGTGAAGGCGGCGGTTTAGGTTCTTGAAGACGGTTCCCCCGTGTCCAGCTGGCGACAGTTGCGGCTCCTAGCTCGTCGGTATAATTTTCAGAGTTTTGGCGGTGTCTTTAATTTTTGAGGATGTCTGCAAATTTTCAATTTTTTTAAGAAAACGAGGTCATAATTTCCAAATTTAGGAGTAATTGTCAAAACATTTAAACTTAATTGCGGTGTCAAGAGCTTATTTGGTTCAGTTGACAACACACGAGTTAACCGTGTTAACGTGAGGGTTTTCTGTCAAAAATTATTGTCTTATTGGGGCTTAGCGTGAGTTTTGAAGTTACTGGGTGTTAGGTGCCAAGTGTCAGAAGTTATTAGGGGTTTAGTGTAATTTACCCTCTTTTTCCCATATAAATCCATTTACGAAACCAATTAGAAAAAAAAAATATTTTATCAATAAAGATATTTTGCTTCTTCAAGTTACACGCAACTATGATTAACAAAACTAATCTAATAATTATCTATTAGTTTAAGTACAGTGAAATGTTAATTAAGTTTCAACGGAAAGTCAAAAGGAGCAGTTATTGTAACTTTTAAAATTTTAAGGGTGGCAGGTTTGCAGTTTTAAGAATGGTTGTATATTGTTCTCCTAATTTTTGGATTTTAGGGATTGTTCTCGTAATTTTTGGACTTTTAATTCTAAAGTTTGAATTTTTTGTTTTTTTTGTTTTTTGCAGTTCTAAATTTTGGAATGGTTTTCAAAAAAAAAATTTTGTTGCAAATTTAGGATTTTAAGTGACTACTAATTTAATTTTTGGAATGCCTTTCAATTTTCAGATCCTTACGAGGGCTAATTTGTAACTTTTCATATTTTGAAGGGGTTGTTTTCATGATTTACTAATTTTGATGGGGTCTGTAATTGTAAGTTTTTTTTCGCTTTAAGGGAGTTTTTATTAGAATTTCTACATTTTAGGGCATTTTTTTGTAATTTGATATTTTAAAGGACTTCTTTTTAATTTTTTGATTTTTATGTGAACGATTTTGCAATTTCAGCTTTTTAAGTGGCTTACTTTTTTTTATTTAGAATTTTAGGAGTTATTTTTTATAATTTTCAGATTTTAAGGACTTGTTTAGAATGTTAAGATAAGATTGTCAAGAGCACAATCGAAGTGAAGAGGGAGGGAGAGAGAGAGAGGGACGAAAAGAGAGAGAATATAAGAATTGGAAATGACACAGTTTGGTGGCTATTTAAGATTCTAAACTCAGTGTGAAGTCAAAGCAAAATTAGGCTAATTCCGGCAGCTCAAATATTTTGACATCCAAATATTGAAATTGACCTAATTTCAGGAATTGAAATGAAAAAATTGCACAGAACTATTTACAATTTATTTACGATGTTATTGGCCTAGTGCTTTTTGTCTATATGAAACCCAAAGCATCCTTCAACGAACTAAAAAAATTTGAGCATTCAGCACACATGCAAACTAAATATTAAGACATATAATCTTTCGAAACGAATATAAAACCATAAACATGCTAGTGTTACCACAGGAGCAATCCCGCATTTGATTAAAATAATAATAATAATAAAATCAGGCAAGACAACGACATACTTGCGATAGGGCACCAAACACTTTATACATATATATATTTTGTGAGCTGTCCATAAGAGAAACAACTTTATTGTGAAGTATGGGGACATAGGGCCCACCCATCGGCACCGCGTGAACAACAACGCCGATGGGTGGGCCCTATGTCCCCATGCTTCACAATTTTTTCTGCCGCTGCTTGCGCTTTTCTCCTGCATACGTAAAAAACAAAACTTCTTGCACAATCTTCACATCGTCATTTTCAAGAACATCTCGAACGAAGTAATAACGAACATCAAAGTGTTTCATCATCGCATGAAAAACCTGATTCTTCGCCAAATAGATAGCACTCATACTATCACAATAAATAGTGACGGACCGCTGCGATATACTAAGTTCCTCCAAAAGTCCTCGAAGCCAAATAGCCTCCTTCACAGCCTCCGTAATCGTCATACACTATGCATCTGTAGTAGACAAAGCCACCGTAGACTGTAAGGTACATCTCCAACACATCGGCGCACGGGTCAAAGTAAACACATACCCCGTCATAGACCGACACTTATCAAAAACCCTGGCATAATCCGAATCAACGTAGCCTATACATAACTGTCCACCTGTAGTATCCCGCTCATAGATCAAACCAAAATTAAGCGTACCTCGAATGTACCTCAAAATTCATCTCATGACGTCCCAATGACCGACTCCTAGATCGTGCATGTATCTCGATAACATGCCCACCGCCTGTGATAAATCCGACCTTGTACATACCATCGCGTACATCAAGCTCCCAACCGCGCTCGCATATGGAGTCTTCGATATCAACTCTCGATCTTCAATTGTCTTCGGTGAAAGGTCAACTGAAAGTTTTAAATGGGCTCCCAAAGATACACTAACTGGCTTCGTATCCATGCTAACATGAAATCGCTGTAGAACCTTCTTCAAATAAGTCACCTATGTCAAACAAATTTTAACCTTCTTCTTGTATCTGTCAATCTCCATCCCTAAAATACGTTTCGTCTCACCCAAATCATTCATCTCAAACTCCTTTGGAAGCTGTGTCTTCAACTCATCTATAGCATATCTGGAAATAGAGACAACCAACATGTCATCGACATAAAATAATAAATAGATGTACGCACCTTCTTTCAACTTGAGAAAATATACGCAAAGATCAAACTGGCTCCGAGTATACGAATGACCAATCATAAAACCATCGAATCGCCTATATTACTGTCGAGGAGACTATTTCAAACCGTATAGAGATTTCTTCAATCTGCAAACCAATTTTTCCTTCCCTGCAGCTCGGAATCCCAATGGCTGAGTCATATATTTTTTTCATCAAGATCACCATGAAGAAATACCATCTTCACATCCAACTGATCTAACTCCAAACCATATTGTGCCACTAAAGCTAGCAAAATCCGAATCGAAGAATGCTTCACCACCGGAGAGAAAAGCTCGTTATAGTCAATTTCTTCCTCCTGTGCATAGCCCTTCGTAACCAACCTACCCTTGAACCTCAATGGAGTGCCCTCAATGCCCTCCTTCTTCGTGTATACCCACTTGCATCCAATTGCCTTCCGCCCCTTTGGAAGCTCAACAAACTCCCACGTATCATTCTTGTGAAGAGACTTCATCTCCTCTTGCATAGCTACCTGCCACGAATCAGCCTCCGAACTCTGCTCGGCCTCTCTAAATGTAGCATGCACCATCTCATCGATACTCTCCACCGGAAGTGCATACGCAACTGTGTCGACATACCGTGTTGGCATCCGTATGTCTCTCCTCTGTCTCCGAACCGTAATAGAATCCTGAACCTGAGCCGTCGGTCCCTTATTCTGCACATCAGTACCCGTATCCTTCGTGTCACCGTCGTGCTCGCCCGGCATCACCTCAGTCGGCACTATAATAGATATTGTACCATCTGGACACTGTAGAGCTACATCGATCTCCACCACCTGCGATATCTCCTCTGTCGGGTCGCTCTCCACCTGATGAGAGATGAGAAGTTTTAAGATAGAAGCCTCATCGAATGTAACATCTCTACTCAGTATAATCTTTCCATCAACTGGATCTAATAGTTTGTATCCCTTGACACCACGCTTGAATCCTACAAATATAGCCTTCCTAGCTCAAGGTTTTAATTTATCTGTTCTCACATGATAAAATACAGGGCACCCGAATACCTTGAGCTGGTCATAATCTCATGCTGGCTCTCCCGACCACATCTCCATAGGGTCTTCCCCTCAATCGCAAATGAAGCAAGCCTATTAATGAGGTGACTCGCATATATAAGTGTTTCAGCCCAAAAGATCTTCTCCAAACCACTCTGCGACAATAAACATCGGACCTTCTCCAGCAAAGACCGATTTAACCTCTCTGTCACCCTATTCTGTCGCGGTGTATGACTAACCGTGAAGTGCCTCTCTATGTCCTCATCTCGACATAGCTGCAGAAAGGGGTCTGAGGTATACTCGCCGCCGTTGTCGGATCGTAACGTCTTGATCTTTCTCCCAGTTTGTAGTTCCAATCTCTTCTTCCACTCCATAAACAAATCCAGGACTTCACTCTTCTTCGTCATGGTGTACACCCAACATCGTCTAGAATAGTCATCAACGAACATGACGAACCAATATCGACCACCAAGTGATGCAGTCTTGGTGGGACCCTAAATGTCTATGTGCACGTAGTCCAGGATACCCCTCGTCCTATGAATAGCAGTCTCGAACTTCACCTTCGTCTTTTTGCCAAGTACACAGTGCTCACAGAATTCAACTTTACCACTCTTGGCTCCCTTCAATAGCTCCTGCTTGCACAGCACCTGCATTGACTTCTCGCCTATGTACCCTAACCTGTAATGCCAAAGCCTGCTCATGTCCGCCTCTGAAATATCTAAAGCTACCTGGCCAATCTCGGTGCTCCCCTTCAGATAATACAAGTTTTAACCGCGGACTCCCTTCATCACCATCAAAGATCCCTTAGTCACCTTTGCTACAGCGTCTCCAAAAGTCACTTTGAATCCCTTTGCCTCCAAAACTCCAACTGAGGTAAGATTCTTCTTCAGCTAAGGAACAAATCTCACCTCCTTCAATTCACGAACTACTCCATCGTGAATCCGGATCCGCACAGTACTTATCCTACAAATACCACAGGACTGATCATTTTCCATGACTACAACTCCCCCATCGAGCTTCTCAAAAGATGCAAACCAATCTCGCCTAGGGGTCACATGATAGGTAGCACCAGAATCAAGTATCCAATCTGATGCATCCAAGTGGTTCATCTCCAGAGTAATCAGTAGAGAAAAGTTCGAATCATCGGAATCATCGTCTTTCGCAATATTCACATCATTGGCTTTCGGGCCCTTTTTCTTACCATTCTCCTTATCCTTGAGCTTCGGACAGTCTCTCTTCCAATGTCCGTGCTCCTTACAGAATGCACATTGGTTCTTTACTAATTGGTGGCGGCTTCTTGACTTTGACCTCCCTCTATTACCACCTTTCGGATATGTGCTTCTATCTCTCGTCGACAAGGCTTCACTTGAAGTACTAGCACAGAAAGTCTCCTTGTCCTTCCTCCTCAAATCATAATTCGTTAATGCATTAGTAACTTTACTATAGCTGATAGAAGATCTTTCGTTCAACAAAGTGAGTACAAAGGTGTCATACTCCTCATCCGGTAAGGAGCCCAATAAGATAATAGCCTTGTACTCATCCGAAATTTTTTCATCAACATTCGCCAAGTTCGACAACAATTTCGTATAGTTGTTTACATGAGCCGCAAGCGATGTGCCTCTGGATATCTAGAATCTGAATAACATACGTAGCAAATGCAACTTGTTCTCAACACTCTTCGTAAGGTACTTATTGTTGAGAATTTCCCACATCTTCATCGCATACGTCACCCCAATCACATCATACTTCAGTTTCTGTTCCAAACAGGACCTGATTACCACACAAGTATTCCTATTCATCTTTTTTCATATCGCCTCTTCATATTTTGGTGGTCTCTCATGGACCATGATGGTCTCTATTCATCTTTTTTCATATCGCCTCTTCATATTTTGGTGGTCTCTCATGGACCATGATGGTCTCCTCTAAGTTTTGAGCATTGCCTCTTCATATTTTGGTGGTCTCTCATGGACCATGATGGTCTCCTCTAAGTTTTGAGCATTGAGCGCATCATGTACGTCGCTCATCCATAAACCAAAGTTAATTTTACCGTCATACTTCGTCACACTAATTTTGGTGTTCTGAAAACTAACTTGAACTGTACTCGCCATCGACTTGCTGCTTTCACCTTCTTCTCCAATTGTAAACTAACTCCAAGTTGTAAAGAAAGAATCAAACTTTGATAGAAATTTAAGAATTACCCAACTAAACCCTAGATCGGATTCCAAATAGATCTCCTATCCACACGAGAAAAGCAAAATCTCCAACGGTAACTCCTAATGCTATCTCCACCGAAGCCTAGAACTCCAAGAACCAAGTTTCACACAATAATCTTCCTCCACCTAATTCTAAAACCCTAGATCTGAAATCTGGCTCTGATACCACTTGTTACAAGCAACGGAAATTTTGGTAGCACTTCGACAGCACAACAAGAGAGTCAGGTCGCAATAGGAATTCTCGTTTCACTAAGGAAACAAGAACCAAAAGCAAAATATCTCAATAAAGAGGGATATCAGCTCTTCCTCTCATCAGTTCTAGGACTGACTTGTTGAGGGAACCTAAATAAGCTATTACAAATCACAAAACGAGACAAACTAATTTTACGTGGTTCGAAAAATTACCTACGTCCACGGGGCAAGAAGGGGGAAGATCTACTATTAGAGGGAGAGAATACAACTAGGGTTTACAATCACACAACTTAAACCCTCAAATAAGCTCTCAGATCCCTCACACAAATATCCCCCTCAAAAGGATGCACAAACCAAAGAACAACCGCCAAAACCCAAAGCTGTAGTTTTCTCTCTGTCGTCCTCTCCTTGCATGAACACTACCTTACACCCCTGCTCTTGCGCGCTACCAAAAAAAATCAGCCGACTTTGTTTTTCCTTTGCACGCCCCTCTGTTGCTTGCACACCCTGCTACACGAAGCCGCAACTAAGAGAAAGAAATAAAGCAGCCGACTTTGCTCCTTTTCCCTTTTGCACCACAAACACGAAACCCTAGACAAGGGTTTATATAAATCACGAAAAGCTTCTTTTGGTGGGCTTTGCTGTCCACATATGTGGCCACCACACAACGAATAAAACACGTTGTTGTTCACGCGGTGCGTTCAAGCACATGCCGATGGGTGGGCCCTATGTCCCCATGCTTCACATTTATTGTGGTCGGTTTAAATATAGAAGAAGGTAGGAGAGGAGCATGATTGAACTAAGTCGAAGGAGATGAAAAGAAGAAGTGGGTGTGATGTAACTACTTGTGTTTGGATAGACAACTAAGAAATGGAGGAGGGGGGGAGTAATGAAACTAATATGTGTTTAGAATAGAAAATAGGAGAGAAGAGAGTAATTTACTTAAAATCCAACCCTCCCAATTCTTCTCCTCATCTACCGAAAAATGTAAACAAACACAATTTTAAGATGATTAGCATTGTAAGCTCCCAACTCCTTCTTTCACCTCTTAAAAAAATCTATCAAAACCCACCTAGAAGATGATGACTACCCACATTAATTCTCATGATATTTATAAGTGGGAATGATCTATAGCACTTAACGTGCATGAAATGAATGGTCTAATGATTGACATCTCTTTGGTGTGCATCTAATGCAATGGACTAGAGACCATTTGATACTTTCTCACTTTAGTTGCTCTTCAAATTATCATCCATTTAATTATGGTACAACAATTTACAAAGGACCTTATATTAAAAAGAGATTTTTTTTTCTCTCTCCTAGGGACCACCTATAAAATAAGGCTCATTCTAAAGAAATCACCTTTGATTTTTAATTTATACTCTCTTTAAACAACTTTTTGTTGCCATCAACCACTTGGACTCACTTCTAAGTCTAGCTTTCCCAGTTTTGCTATAATTTAGTTGTCAAATATCAAATACATTAGAGAGATAATCTTTAATAATAAGTTGTCAAATTACCAATTTTTTTTACTATTTTAAAGATGATTTATGTGTAAATTAAAAATAAAAAATGGCATCTATAGAATGACCGTATTTTAGAGGTTGTTTCTAAGAGCAACGCCTCTATTAAAAATTCATATAGAAGAAAAGAGGAGGCACTACTATACGCATAATCAATTTTATTATGAATTAACACTGATTTAAGTACTTCGTTTGTCTTAGTTTTTAGGGTTTTTATGAGATTCGTCCCCCAAATCTCATCTATTTTGAAATCATTCTGCCATAAGTTGGTATTATGCAATGAGTACCCCAGTACCCATTGATTATTCTAAACTAGTCCTTTTAGTTTTATTTTTTTTAAAGTTTTCCCGCAAGATAAAATAACAGCAGTTAGCTCTCTAGTTTTCCGGGGATACCCACTTCTTCAACCCCCCAACATTCTATTAATGGTCATGGAGGCAATGAATCCACCAAAACCCATTAAAATTTGCATTCAAGATATTCTTCCATATGACCTTGATATTGCTCAATGAACTCGAAACTTACAAAACCTAATCAATGTGGTGTATGTACACGTCAGGGGTATGGCTCGACAGAGGGAGGTGCGATATCGCTTGCAACCGGTCCAGAGGAATGTAGCCACCTGCGGTCTGTGGGACGCCTTCATGCAAACATGGAAGCAAAAATTGTCGATACCGAAACTGGAAATCCCTTATCCGTAGGACAACAAGGGGAACTATGGCTTCGAGGACCTACTGTCATGATAGGTAAGTAATTGATAACAATTTGGATCTTCTTCATTTTGGTAGTAATTGAACCGGGTCCAATAATTATCACGATCATTACCAACAAGATCAAATAGAATTTCCACTATTATTATTGTCATCTTGAAAACCACTGACGGGGCATAAATGTATACCTCTAGAGTTATAAGTGCACAACAATCAAGTTATAGTATAAAAAGTTATTGATTCCATGAGGAATGTGTTTGTAGGAGAAAATCAAAACGGTTCTTATGTTGTGTGTGTGACAATTAGAAGTGATGGATATGATTGTGGAGAGATAAATGGAGTGAGAGTGATTGTGTAAATAAAAACAAAACAAGATTGGGAGTGGAGAGATAAAGAGTGGGTGTGATAAAGTGTAAGTGTAAACAAAACTAACAAAAGGGAAGAAAAAAAAGATGAAGGAAATAAAATCAAGAAACAAATGAGAGAAAAATCAAGAATAAAGAGGAAAAATAATGAAAGTAAAAAAATGAAGGATTCAATTAGAGATATGAGGAATCTAAAATTGAATCCACTAGCTAGTTTCATGCAAATTCTAGAGTTCCCACAAGTACTAGTTCCACATATTTAAAAAAAGTCAATTCCCTAGAGGGTTCTAGCCTCAAGGCGAATCAAATAAAAAAATTAAACAAAAATAAAAACTAATCCTAAGAGGGTTCTAACCTCAAGGCGAATAGTGCAATAAAATAAAATCTAAACTACAAAATAAATTATAAGAAATAAATGCAAGAATTTAAAGCAAGAAAGTAAAATCATGAAAGTAAATCTACTCTATTAAGCATGAAAATAAATCTAAAGCAAGAGGGTTCTAGCCTCTTAGCTATTTTAGCAAAAAAAAAAAGTAAAAGATAAATTTATTAACAAAGAGAAAATTTATATCCCAAGAGGGTTATAGCCTCAAGGTGATAGCAAACCTTCCTCTTGATCTTCATCTTCATCTCACCTTCATCTTCATAATCAATCAAAGAGAAGAAAAGAAAAATATGAAGAGGTAAAAATATTTCTTTATTAATTACAACAAAAAGTTACAATTTGGAAGGTCTTCTCAATTAAGAGTAACCCTTTTCAAAAAGAGTTTGTACAAAATATTTCACATCATATCCCCTCACTCTCTACGCCTATTTATAGCTCACAGCAATAAATGAGAGCCTTTAGATTAAACTTTTTTCCCAAGTTAATCAATTGCAGCCTTTAAATCGTAACTACACATTTGGTATCAATACCAGTATCGATACCGGTATCGATACTTGTATCAAAAATATGACTTGACAGATGACTTCGTCTCATCGAGATAGGTGATTTTTATATATTATATGTTAAATTTCGCCTTCCGAATTGAGGAATATCGTTGTTTCTTTGCGGCTAACCATCTTGAATATGATATTAGATTTTTATTTTCTCCAGCTTCTGTTGGCTTCTTGACTTGACCTTAGGCTTCAATAAAAGGTTAAAAATGAAGAAGTTAGAGTTTTTTGGGCTTTTATTTATTTATTTTTATTAACCTGCAAATTAAGATAAAAATAATTATTAATACTATATGTATTCATGTAAAATAGATAATAATGGTATAAAATCGTAATAAAAATATGATTATCAAATACCCCCACACCTAAACTTTTGCTAGTCCTCTAGCAAGGAAAGAAAATGAAAGAGAAAGAAAAAAAAATTCTAACTCACTTTTGTAGGAATCGCGGTTGTATTTAGCGTATTTAATAAGCATTTAAACCCCTACGTTACCCTAGTAGACGAGTTGTAGTCTCGTGAAGGTTTGTAGTGAATATACCCATCAAATTCGGTCAACTTGCCAATTTAAAGAAGTTAGTGAATAATTAATTTACTGGATATATTTAGACATTCTAATTGAAGCTAGTTATTACTCAAGAAAACATTTTTATATATAACTCTAAGGTAAATCTCCTAGAAAATCTTTTCATTATAGCTATATAAAACCAAGTCTAACTTAGAAATTTAATTTAAAAGTTTAAAAAAAACATGCTAACTCTTTATTTTAAACAATTTTCAAGTCTTTTAATCAAAATAATTTTTCAAGAGAATATATACAAATATAACTATATATAAAAAAAATAGTATTTTTTTATTTCACTTTTTATTCCTTCGTGATTTTTTTATACTTTATCGGGCTTTCTAAGTGATCATTTGACGAGTTTTGGGCTAATAAATCCCAACCCAATTGGGCTTAGGTCATTAAGTATAGAAATACTCATTGGGTTTAATTACTCGGTTAACTTAGGTTTTATAAGATAGAATCACCTTGAATTCAAGAGTTTTATATATATCTTTTTTTGTGCCAATTTTTCGCACTCTTTTTTTTCAGGATTATATATATAATATAATATATATATATATATATATATTATATAATATATATAATATATGATATATATATTAATATACTATATATAATGAGAGAGAGAGAGAAGAGAGAGAGATTAATATAGGATCATACATATGAGAGGATCCCTCATAGACAATGATGTGACAATCTCCACACAAGTGAATAAAGTAGAGAGGAGCTCCTTCTCATAAATACATATCTTGGGGGGAGATTTGTGGCCAATAATCATTGTAATTATGAGACGAATCCTCTCATTATGATATGTACCATTATCTCAATATATATATATATATAATATACTAATAATATATTATATATATATATATACATATATATTAATAATATATATATATATCTATATATATATATATATATATAATATAATATATATATATATATATATATATATATACTGAAAAATATGTAGATCAAGACAACTTGAAAATTTATTTTTAACTCTAAGCTAAGCATGCAAAAATTTTATTATTTTATTTAAAAGTCTAAGTTAACGCTTAAGTGAAGTATACTACTTTGAAAATCATTTCTTAAGAAATTTATTTAGAGTTATCATAAAAGGTGAACTTGAGTATAAAACTAACTAGGGATTAGAAAATTTAAAATATATCAAATAGATTAATTATTAATTAACTCTATAATTTGGCAAGTAATAATATTTTATGATTTTTTTACAAAAAAAAATGACATGGAAAGAGAAAAAATTATGGCATACACAGAAGAAAAAGGGAATAAAAAATAAAACAATAAAATAAAGAGGAAAATTAACTAGTTCCCACCCCGACACCTAAATTTTGCATTGTCCTCAATACAAATTATATGATACACAAAGTAAAGCAGATAATAAATGAAACACTTGCATTTGGTCGGTCAACATAGAAAAATAATGATTAAAATCTGTAATTACCTTTGGTATGAGGAGGATGAAATCAAAGAATTTATTCTTCTTCTCTTTTTTTCATTTTCCAAAA